GCCACGCTAGTAGGAACAAGTGCCTTACTAGTAGTAACAAGAAGCTAGTAAATATATATATATATATAGCAAGAGTGCTCCGTTCGTAGCGATGCCCTTGGCTCCGTTCGTAGCTTCTTGTTCCCAATGCGACATCACCCGACGGGTCGACGGGTCTGACAGTGCCGGACCAGATGGAACCAAGGAGCGGCAAACGGAGCAGCTCGGGCATTGCGAAATAACGGAGCACTCTTGCTATACAGTTACACACATGTATATATATATATATACACATATTACATATATATAACATATACTACATATTGTATATATATATATATATATTTGTATATGTAGCTATACGAATATTCTTTTTGTATTCTTTTTCCCCCAAGCAGTTTGCTGTTGGGGTTCTATCTTAGAAAAAAAGAGCTGGCCACACTCACTGGCCGCGCCCCTGAACTCTGTGGCTGGGCTCTGTGGCCCGGCTCTGTGTCCGGGCCTTGTCCCCTGCTTGGCCACGCCGTTTTCCTATCTCCACCGCCTTGTCTGGGTATGTTTTCATGTGGCTAGTGATACAGTGATCGAAATGTGATGGCACCATCGGATCTTCTCATGACATACATCCGGTATCCCATCGTTTTGCACATGTGACACAGGCATCAGGAACTGGTGTTTTCAAACATATATTTATTGTTTAGGTGGAGTTCCCAAACCGCTGGAGGCTTTAGAAAAGTATACTTGCATTCGTTTCCACCAACGTTGGAATTTTCGGAGTTGACGCCGACACCGAAAAAATGCTGACGCTGTTTGGGGTCTATGCTGGTATAATTTCAATGTATATTTTTTAGCAATGGCCTCCAACCGAAGCGTCGCCCTTGGTGAACTTCTTGGGGACTCTCTTGACCGCAACACTCCGTGTTCGAAAAGATGTTCTCACAACTGAGGAGCCTGCTGCTGAAGTGTCTTGCTCAAAAAGGGGGCCAAAAAGGGATTCACACTGCACACTGCATTTACTTCAAATGGATCGTAGACTCACCCGATCCAATTCTGAAAGTCACACCACCATTCCTTGGAGTTGGTACCTGATCCGTTTTGGGGCAGCTGCTGGTCTCCTCTCCATGCCGTTTGACGAATCAAACCCATCCAAAAAAGCCCTCACAGGGCAGAGCTTTGCCCTCCAGGCAGCAGATAGTAGCGCCGCAGGCTCAAGCTTTCACTGCGCAAACGATTCCCATAGGCCAAATGGGTGACGTAACCTTGGCCCATTCGCGGGGAGGCTGGAGCGGTCTCGTCCGGTCTCGTCCGGTCTCGTCCGTCCCACCGGCACCGACCCGAGAACCGACCCCGAACCGGAGGTCAGAACCACGTGACGAGTGCGCGTGAGCCATCCCGTAAGCCATCCCTAGAAAGCTAAAGCTGATCTCCGTAACATGAAGTAGGCGCCTAGTTGAATAAGTATTTGATTAAGGGTGGGCAATAAGAAGTGTTTCTCGTCTCCTCATCCGCTTGGAGACCGCTCATCACGATGAAGAGGTCCACCGCTGCAAAGGAACGGCACGTGATCGCCGAGACGTTCGCGCTTCTGTGCGATCCGTCGGCAGAGGCGCCAGGCATGTAGTGACCACATACAATCCTGGAAATTGGTTTGGAGAAACAGAGGCAGGCCATCGCTGGTAGGTTGGAGGCCATCGCTATATCTGAAATGGAGAAGTCAGAGGTGCAAGTTTTACGTGCAGAACTGCACCCTCAAAAGGCACAGATCTAGGGAGACTTGGACCTCCTTGTGGCGTTTGAGCATGCTTATGAGAATAACATTCTGGAAGTAATGTTATTTGCCTCCAGGTAACTGGAAGCGTTTCGAGTAGCAGAAGTGACAGTGATGTCACCAAACTTGGTTCTTTGAGGGGAATAACATCTTCTCAGCTGACGACGCACCCCTGTCTTTCGGTCGTCAGTTCTTGAAAGGTAAAGTATATACTCACGAGTGTGATGTGCTATTATAGTCACCCGCAAAAAATGAGATATTGAAGAAAGCGATCGTCCGCGAATTCCCCGTTGAATGTCTTTAGCACACGTGTCCAAAACCCATGAGAACGGTTTCCTACTTGATGACCCCGAAGTAGTGGCCTGGCGATCGAATTTCAGACTCAGTGGACTCGGTGGACAAGAAGCTGGTTACTGGTGGTGGACTGGTAGCGATGCACCTGTTACTGGTAGTAATGGCCTCCAGCCTACTAGCGATGGATTCTAACCTAGTAGCTTCTTGCTACTAGTAGTAAGGCCAGGAGCGCCCCGTTTGTAGCGTCCTTTCTCCTAGGTCCTAGTAGCGTTGCCCTTTGCTCCTAGTAGCTTCTTGTTACTAGATATTCAGCCAGGAACATCTGGAGTCTGGAAGACTTCTCTTACCCAGTCCGGTGCCTGCTCCATGAGACCGATTTTTGTCCAAACTCCTCCAAGGTTCCACAAAGCTAAGAACGATCTCAGCCCTGTGAGGTGTTCCAATTCTTCACCAGCCCGCGCCATGACGATAGCTTTGGTGAGTAGGTCGGTCGCAGGCTTCCGAGGGTGCTTGGGTCAGTGGGTCAGTGGGCTTTCCGGGGGGGCTAGGTGGGCTGGGTCATAGCCCAAGCGGGGAATGTGAGTTGCATCTGACTCACTTTAAGGGCGAATCGTGACATTGCACGCAAGACAGAGCACAACACCTTAAGCCTAACTTGCCTAACCTGGCTGTCAAACCGCCTTGCGAGTCGCAGTTGGCAGTTTGAGCCTGGAGCTGGAAAGTCGGTGTAGCAACCTGCTTCGCTCGGTTTGGCTTCTATCTCGTGTCCTTGCCGGGACATCGAATCCTATCACCCAAGCTTTCCAAGGCCTGTGCAAAAAGCAACAGACGAATTTTGTCATTGGTGTGGTGGAACCACCTGTTTAGCATGGATTTGACCGGATTGTTGAGGATGGATTTTGCGAGAGAATCCCTTGGTGGCAGGGTCAGGTTGCCAGTTAAAGGCCTGCTTTGCACTTCTTCATGTGTCTGACTTCACTCCGCTCGAGCCAGAAGATTCGTATCGATGGATGATCTAAATCCTGTACCCACCCCAAGATGCAATCGATAGGGCATCCAACAAAGTGCCACCGTCAGATGGATGGATCATCAACAGAGTGGAAATGTAGGAACACATGTTCCATAGCCCTGGAATATCTGCCTCCGACCCATAGCCCCTCAACCTCCCTTGACCTCCAAAGAAGATGATTGCACATGTCAAGAACCTCCTAAACCACAACGATCCACAGGCTCTTCGACCCATGGCTTGTAGAGTTTACACCGGAGGAAGGCCGCTGAAAAAGACCGATGGCCAAAATGCTCCATCGATCGATTCGCCAAAGCAATGTGATCGACTCGCCACATGGCTATTCTTTCTAATTTGTGCATCCGAAGCTCGCTTTGTGAAGAAAGGCTTTCTGCCCTATCCCAAGAACTTCTAAAGGGTAAACGCTGTGGTCAAAGAACCCATGGGCTCAAGTAACTCAAGTACAAAGCACTCGCAGTGAGTGCTGAGTAAAGTAGAAAGTGGTACAACATGGACCAAGGAACCGCTCATCCAACCTGTTCTAACCCTACGAGCATCGGGCTCCCCCCAACACCCGAGGCTCGCCCTCCCCAAAACCCGGGCTCGCTGAAACCATCTCCCCATGCGCTTGAACTCGGACAAAGAGTCCAGCCGAGTTCAACCAAGACCATATTTCTATTAGGTTGGAGGCCAAGGCTACTAGTAGCTTCTTGCTCCTAGTTGCTTCCTGCTCCTAGTAGCCAGGAGGCCCTTATAGCTTCTTGCCCCTAGTAGCGATGCCCTTGGCTCCTAGAACTTCTTCGACCAAGGCACGGTTGCGCTGGCCGATGGCACGCAGCTTCTCCTCCTCGATCTTCGCGGCCTCGCCGTCCAGGACCTGGTGCCAGGTCCGGTTTTGGGCGACTGGGCGACTGAAGAATTTGGTGAAGAATGCGAACACCATGCTGCTTTTCCTGATTCTGCTTTACCTTGCTGATGTTGTTGTTGATTCTAGATTTATTTAGGGTAAATTTTATTTAGGGCGTGGTGGCATCAGGAAAATTTCTTCGCTTTATCTAGGGTACACTTTATTTAGCGTCTTTTTACTTTTTGTTTATATAAAGAGTATTTACTTATTGTTTAAAATTATGTATATTATTGTTATGGTTTTTAGTCTTTGTTGTTGTTTTAGTAGATATTTTACTATATTTTTAAAGTTTTTTTTTTTTTTTTAATTATTATATAAATCTAACTTCTATTTTGGAATTATTATACATTTAAGTTATTATTATGGTTTTTTCCTTATTATTTCTATGTTTTTAAAAACATATTAAACAGTAATTATATATTTTTTCTTATTTATATGTCTAAAACAGTAGGTATATTGTTTGTTATGTATTTTTTGAATTGTTCTGGGGGTTTATTAATCAGTGCGGAACTTTGCTAACCTTATTTCGGGTCTCTCTCTTTATTAATCATAGGTCAACATTATCTATATATGATTATATATATATAATTCCACACTCCTTGGACGAGCCCTGAAGGATGGTATTGGCTGCAGTTTGCAAGCTGCCAACTTGGAGTCAAGGGTTGAAGTAATCTCGTTCAGATCGATCTCTTTCTGCTTCCCGGGAAAATGGCATCTGTGGAGTTCCGGTGGAGATTTCTTTAAAGCCCAGTGCCTTGTCCGCTTCCTCGAACATTCAAAAACACCCGTTCAAAGAAACACATGTCTTTTGCATTAATAGCGATGGCCTCCCACTGGTCCGAGCGCGTCCGCGTCCTGGAACCCTTCACCGGTCCATCAGGAGCAGCCGTAGCCGTGCCCCGCGCCCGGTGCCTCCACGAGCATGTCGACTGTGCCGCTAAAGGCCTGCGAAGCGAAGCAGAGGAGGGACTCGGGTTTGAGGTTTGAAGCGACCCAGGGGCCCAGCAAAAACCCAGGGGGTTTGGATACCTTAAGGTTGGACCCCCCCCGGTTTTCAAGGGCTCTAGGGTCAGGTTTTCCGGGCTTAATTCGAGACACGCAATAACATCAACGTCAGATCGTACACTTGAACCGTTCGAAATAGGGATCTGGTCAACCAACGGGCCACCCGGTGAAGCTCTCAACCTCTCCAGCATGACTTGGGCAAACACCGCCAAAAACCTCTTCACCCTGGCTCTAGTAGGTGGAAGGCCATTACTAGTAGGTCATTGCTAGTAGGTTGGAGGCCATTGCTTCGCTGGAGGCTTGGCAAGGCTACCTCTTCACCCTGGCTTCACCTCCCAGACAGCGCCATCCCACCAACCTGGATCTTTTCAGCGAAGCCATGGCACTCGGTTTCCAGGTCCCTCGGCACGGTTCGGCACTCGTGTTCCGTTTCGGGGGTTTCCAGACGAAAAGAGCCGCAATAACGAACGCATCAAGTTCTGAACAGATCAAAAGGAAGTAAACAATAACTCAGAAACGGTGGACGATGATGGTTAGGTGGCAGGCCTTGTTCAAACATAGTGAATGGCTTGTTTACTGACTGATCTACAGGTAAGAACGGACAAACCCCATTCATCACCATTGGGAAGAAAAAGCACGTGGAAGTGAGTGGTTGAACATCTGAGAGGAAACACCCACCTCCACGTGCGATCCGAAGTCTTCTTGGCATTGTCAAAGTGCACCCCTGTCAACTGGCTGGGTTTGGTCACTAGAGATGAAGCGCAAATCGGGTAGCCACGTCTGTTTAACCACTAGGGTTTGTACTGCTTGGGGTACTTTTCATATACCCTAGGGCTCCAACCATATCCTCAGAAGGTGGTTAGACCCCCCAAACCCACCCTAACCACCTTCTCAGGAGCTAGTTGGAGCCCTAGGGATAGTACATACATTCATGTTCCAGTTCCTGGAAGCTTGCTGTCTCTCTCTCAACCAAACAGACATGAGCGCCGGTTATCTGAAAACAACGAAAGGCATGACAGGCATCCGATGTTGGTTTACTTCGCCCGTTCCAACCATTCGAAAGAACATCGGGAAGATATCGGACCCACTGTCCAACCATCCCAAAGGGCCCAGGTCTTCGAAGACCACACATGTCATTGACCTGTGCTCGAGCTTGTCCCATTCTTAGGTAGCCACGTCTGTTTGAGAAACCACTAGAGCTTGTTCACAACTCAGCCCATGGGCAAACACGTCTTCTCCTCAACTAAGCCAGCGACTCTGTCTGCTTAAACTTCTCTTTGGGCATGACACGGATGCGATTGTCCTGGCAAAGCACGGAAGTCTCGACGGGGGTCGGCCAGGGCCAAAACGGTGGCCTTTGCGCCTTCAAGACTCATCCACTTACAGAACCTCAAGCTGGACAAGTGTCCAAGCAACGCAACAAATGCCTGGCGCCTGCCGCACTGGATTTCTCGTGCTTCTCATACGGGGTTCCAAAGGTTGTGTCATGCGTCCCAAATCCTGATGTGTTCAAACAGCGCTTTGTTCAAACAGAATGGCGATGGCGAAGCGTCGCCCATTCTGGAAGACTACCAGTCTGCAGACATGTCCTGGAGAATGACACCCCCCCTCGGGATCTCAGCCCTGCCCCATTCGGATACCCGTCACGTCCGGCCGCGTCGCGGCTCCGAGGGCGGTTAGTGTCGTGTAAATCCGAAATCACCATCCGACGACCTGGGTAGCCCTGAACCACCACGAAAGAAAGCGAAGTCTACAGAAGAACACCGCCTCCCCTGATTGATATGCAGAGAAGCACATGGACACGTCTTCATTCAGGTGTTCCGGCGTTTTCGTACATCACAAAAAAACCCGCCACACATCACAGTCTTCTATTCTTCGTTTATCATCTAGAAATGAACCTGGATCGTGTGCAGGGCGTCCTTGGAAAGCTTGCACGAAGCGACGGAAATCCGCTGAAGCATCGCCCACCTTGCCTTCTTTGGCACTTGAAGATCATGACAGCTACCGTCCAATTTGATCCCAGGAAGCGTAAAACCATGTAACGCCTCATATGGGAGTTTTCATTAACGTCTACATTGACACGTACGACATTGTACCGAACAAGGGATGGGCCTCATCAAAGGTGATGTCCAGCCCCATGTCCGCCATGGCCAGTCACGGTGCGCAACGCGTGCCACGCGCTTCGTCGTGCGCCGGAAATCGTGGCACGTTGGGTCGCGTCGCGCGCTGGAAGCGACGGGTGATGCAACGTGAGGCGGGCAGCGGGCGATTTGGAGGAAAAAGAGATGGGGTGATCAACCTAGAAGCGATGGCCTCCAATGCTCCAACCTAATTCATAGCGATGGCCTCCAACCTAATAGCGATGGTCTCCAACATGTGAGTGGCTCAGGATTTCAATGGTGTAGAAGAAAGTCATAGACATTAGCAGCATCATTAGCAACATGGGAAATTGGCGGACCCCAGCATGTGACGATTTCATGTTCACAAAACTCTGAAAAACTCAAAGACCATCACTGAATCCGCTCGCTACTAGGAGCCAAGGGCAT